TCTGCTGAGGGTATAGCCACTGACCCTAACAAGATCTCTGCTGTGAAGCAGTGGGCAGTACCCACCACTCTGAAAGCTCTGAGGTCATTCCTCGGTTTCTGCGGGTATTATAGAAGATTTGTCCCGGGCTTCTCAAAAATCGCTGGGCCGCTACATGACTTGGTCAATCAGTGTCTAAATGAAGGACCTCCAGCTAAAGTTAACCAAAAGGTAATCAATGGGTGGAGTCCTGAGTGTCAGGCATCCTTTGATACTTTGAAGGAAAAACTAACGAGTGCGCCCGTGCTCGGATTTGCTGATTTCTCTGCCCCATTTATCCTTGAGACTGATGCAAGCAATCAGGGCTTAGGAGCCATTCTTCTGCAGCAGCAAGAGGGAAAGAAAAGAGTGATCTCTTATGCGAGCCGAAGGTTGCGGAATGCTGAAAGGAATGACAAGAATTATAGCAGCATGAAGTTGGAGCTGCTTAGCCTCAAGTGGGCAGTTACTGAAAAATTCAGAGGCTACTTGCTGGGTTCCAAATTTACTGTAATCACAGATAATAACCCACTATGTCACCTACACACTGCCAAATTAGGAGCCCTGGAACAGAGATGGGTGGCACAGTTAGCGGCATTTGATTTTGATGTTCAATACCGACCTGGTCGGTGTAATCAAGCTGCAGATGCATTGTCTAGGCAGCCCTTGGCAGGGGAGCCTGTGGTAGACATGGAAGATGCCGAATATGAAGACTGTGTGACTATTTGTAGCCTGACACAACGTGGGACACCTCTTGACGCTGAATTGATTCAAGCTGGAATGGAGAGGTGTGAGGTCCGTCAGATGCGCGCCATGGAAACACGTGGGTTGGCAAGCACAGAGGCACAGGGGAGTACTGCTATTTGGCCTGGGTATTCTAAGGAGCAGTTGGCCTCGTTTCAGACTCAGGATCCAGTTCTGAAGGAGTTCAAGATCTTTTGGGACCAGAAACGTAAACCTGCAGGCTTGGAAGTAAAAACCCTGTCAAAATCTGTACGCTCGTTGCTGAAGCAGTGGAACCGACTAAGGGAAAAGGAGGGATTGTTGTATCGGGTAGTGGAGGATGTGCGTCACGGAGAGTCTTTCCAACTGTTAGTCCCCGCCTGCTTGAAAACTCAGGTGCTTGAGTCCGTCCATGCTGGTATGGGGCATCAGGGAATTGAAAGGACGCTGCAATTGCTGAAGCCAAGATGTTACTGGGTGGGAATGTATGGGGATGTTGAGCAGTGGATAAAGAATTGTCAGCGCTGTGTTCTCACTAAAATGCCTCAGCCTAGAGTACACCCGCCCATGAAGTCATTCCTTGCTAGCCGGCCTTTAGAAGTCGTGGCCGTGGATTTCACTTTACTGGAGCCAGCCGCTGATGGAAGGGAGAACGTTTTAGTTGTCACTGATGTGTTCACGAAGTTCACACAAGCTTTTGTAACGCGGGATCAGAAAGCTGACACCACAGCTAAAGTTCTTTTGAGGGAGTGGTTCATGAAATTTGGAGTTCCAGAACGGCTACATGCAGATCAGGGGCGCAATTTTGAAAGCGAGGTAATAGCAGAATTGTGCAAGCTGTATGGGGTTAAGAAAAGCCGTACTACTCCCTATCATCCCACTGGAAACGCCCAGTGCGAGCGTTTTAATCGCACTCTACATGAGCTGCTACGAACACTGCCTCCTGAGAGCAAAAGACGGTGGCCTGAACATCTAGCTGAGCTGGTCTATGCGTACAATGTTACCCCGCATTCGACAACAGGGTATTCACCTTTCTATCTGTTGTTCGGCGTCGACCCTCATTTGCCTGTGGATGCACTTTTGGGACGAGAATCAGGAGCTAAGCCTACTCATGACTGGTTAGTGGTGCATCAGAGACGGCTGAAGGAGGCTCATGAACGTGCCAAAGTCTATGCTGAGAAAAAAGCAGCAGAGCGAATTGAGCATTCTCAGGATAAAGTGTATTGTCCATCCATTGTGGTTGGCCAGATCGTATACCTGAGGAATCGACCACTGGGAAGGAATAAAATCCAGGACGCTTGGCATTCGACCCAATACCGGGTGATAGAGATTCAAGGGACCACTTATACGGTTGAGCCTGTGGAAGGAGGGCCCATCAAAAGAGTGAATCGGGTGGATCTCAGACCCTGTGTGCATGTCCCTGCTCCAGTTGCCCGCAAGAGGAATGTTGAGTCTAATGTGGAAGTGGATGAAGCTTCAACAATTGATGTGGACGATGAGAGTTTGGAGGAGGGTGTAGTGCTCGTGGAATGTACTGGCCCAAGTGTGGTTGAACGTCTTGTACGGACTGAAACTGAAGCTGAACACGAAATGGAAGCCTCAGAAGTGTCTCCTTGTGATCCTGAGATTCCGGCTGGAATAGAACTTGGGGGAGGGTTTCAGGAGGAAAGTGTTTCTAGTTTGCCCACACTGCGAAGGAGTACCAGACCTAATGTGGGTCAACATTCAAATCCACACCATGAGCCTAGATCAGCCCTAAATCACAATGTTGTTTCTCAAATGATCGCTAATTTGGGTACCGTATTCTTCAGAGAAGCAGTTAAAGAGCTGAGAAACTCTTACACTGTCACCGAGGCCGTTGACATGTCGGCAGGGGAGAATGTAGCCGGGTGGTGTTTGAACTTGTAAAAAAGTACTTCCCCTTTAAGAAAAGCGAGCCCCTGATGATGACGTGTTAATAGCGCGCAATGCAGAGAGAAACGGAAAACAGCAGTGCATGAGATTAATCCATCCGTGTGTCGAGTATCATCCTTGATTTAATTGATGCTCTATGTGAGTAAATGTGATGATAATCATTTAATCTAGTGTCATAGGATGTGTTTGTTTCATCTTGTGTATGTGTATTTTTGCGGATAGTTCGAGATGATCGAAGATGTTTGATCGCACGTGACTGCATTTTGAAATCTCTATAAAAGAGTTCGGTAAGTCAATTTTCAATGTAAAGTGCATAAGAAATGTGAATAACGTGTATAATATCCTGTGTATGTTATATTTGATTCTTGTGACATGGTGTTTGAAAGCACATGATGAAAATGCTAACAGGGGTTTTGTGTTTGTGTAGGGTGCCACTACCGTGTTTGTGTTTGCTTTGAAAGTGTATTGTTTCACACTGAAAGTGTGCCCTAACATTCGTAAATATTTGACATTGAGAAATTGACACTTTACTAAATTATCTGTTAAGATATTTTTTTTTGTTAATTATTCATTTTGAGTTTATAGTCTATTTGGTTAAAGCATTACAGTGACCCCGTGTAGGGAATTTGAGTAGTGTGGTTGAGTGATAAATTATCACCTGTGACTTGTTGAACTACTCAATTTAAAGCATTTAAGATCTTAAAGAGCATTTAAACAATTGATTGATTTAATAGAGGAAAAATAAAACAAATTGTAAAACGTGGTTCAGTGTCAATTGATTTGTTTTGTTAACTGGCAACATCTAAAAGCCACGCTCCACACATAGTATACGTTCATCAAGTACTTTCACTTCAAACTCACTAAATCCCGAACTCAGCCCATTCAGAAATGTCGGTACTTACTATAGAAAACTGTACATAGGAGCCTGATAAAAATATTAATTTTAATCAAATACTTTAGACAGACTTGGAGGCTTTTGCTTATGAAGTATTCAAATGTTGACTAATTGTGATGTTTATTGATTTACACAGTGAGAAATATAAGAATAATCATGTAACTGTTATGTATTTCAATGTCTAATCATGTTGTGTGTAGGTAGATATTGTTGTGGTACTTTTTTGTGATATTCAATAATGGAAATTAGAATAGGGTCATGTTTTTTGATGCTTAATTATATCCAAAGAGATAAAGTCAGATTCCGGTATATTACATTGATTATGGCAATACGTTTTCAAATGGCCGCAGGTGTCTGCTCGGAAACACATGGCACTGATGAAGGGTTGAACCCAAAAACGTCTTGTACACCTTTCACTTTATTTGTGGACTGGACAATAAAATCTTGCGAGCTGTTTGGCCAATTCTCATGTGCAGATCTTTTTTTTCCCTAATTTTTGATTTAAATAAAGCCCATTGCAACTCTATGATTGAGTCCTCATTCCAATAATCACCTTAAACCTGACGATTCTACATGTCACATCTAATGTGATGCTTAGATTGTGTATTAATATCATTTGTTTAAAGTATTGTTATAGTGTTAGTTAAATAAATACATAGTTTGTTACAGTTATTTTACATGTATACGTAATGTGTTCTTATTAGCCAATCAGATGTTGTTGCGTCATTACGTAGGGATTAATTCACTGCTTGTTTACGTTTAGCGTCAGTATGCTCGCAGGCTCCGGTGCAGATGGTCGAATATAACCCATCGGCGCTGGGCAAGAGCATACAAACACAGTTGATGTAAAGTTGTGTCTGAATAAGTTCAGTAAAGTTCCTGAACGGACTCTCTTTGTTGTGTGCTTCTCTTCACGCCTCCACGGACACTGTATCCAGCTTAACACGAGAAAGCACAACAAGTGGTGTCAGAAGCTGAGCGTGATTGACCGTCATCAGTGAACTGTGAGTGTTGTGAACTGCTGGGGCATCCTTTGTAAATTGATGGACATTATAACCAATGCCAAACGCTGTTGTGGAGTAGTATTAAAGACTGTTTGACCACGTTTGGTCGTCGCGTTGACCACCATTTCACGTGCTGCACGGAGTTTCCCTTCCCCCATCGGAGAAGCGTGGAGCTGGCAGTCTGCCAAATCTAGCGCTGCTGTTGGCTGCCTGCCAATTTTCACAGAAACTTCTAAACATTCACAGATTCGACATAAACAGCCCTGCAAATCTATATTGAAGTTCACAAACCACATAATTTCAGTATTCAGTATTAAAACTATACTAAAACAATAAAAAGAAAAGACATTAATGGAATATAAGCTTCTGCATAAAGCTGAGCCTTGAAAACAACAGAACTTTATCATCAGTAAAAAAAATAAAATAAAATAAAAAAAAAACAACATTTAAAGCTAAATTGTACTACAACATGGATGAGAGTGAGCCAGAGGTCCACCTTGGAGCATCAGCTGTTCCAGACCCCCCACAATGGCTACAGGCTGTGCTGTCACAACAAAATAAGCAACTTCAACATGCCATTTCACCTTTGCTACAAAGATTGGAAGCAACAGAGGCTAGTTTGTCTGCCCTTATGCAGCGGCCCCATGCCAGTAAGGTAACACGTGGTCCCCACCAACATGATGACTCTTCCTCATTTGCAGCTGCCCCTGATAGAACCCTTATGACAGATGGAGATGCTACAGGGCCTTCAGATGCGGAACAGCTTTTTGCTGCAGAGCTCGCAGTCATTGATAGACACGTACGTAGCCCAATTAGTCCAACTTCCTCCACACCTGGCCCTGATGTAAGACCTAGAAGCCGTGCACAGGTACCCAGCCATTATAATGGCTCTTTCAACTTGGGTCAAAACACGCACACACCTTTAAATGCTGCAGCGCCCACCCATCACCACCCAACCCCTCGTGGTAGAGCTTCAGATGGACCTAAAGCTAAACTTGACACTTACGATGGTAAGGATGACTGGGACTCCTTCATTATTCCTTTTGAGCGCAGAGCTGTCATTTACAGATGGAGTGCAGTAGAGAGAGTGGATAAGCTCCATGAATGTCTACGGGGAGCTGCTGTCAGATATCTGTGCTCATTACCCGAACACATACGTGAAGATTACTTTCTTTTGAAAGAACAGCTGGCTTTCCGATTTGGCCAGAAAGAACCTCCCACCACAGCACGGAGGAGACTTGGAGAACTGCGCCAGTCTAAAGAAACTGTTTCAGAGTTCGCAGAGGAGGTTCACAGGCTGGTCATTTTAGCTTATCCTGGAGTTGACACTGAGCTCAGGGAACAAATTGCTGCTGATGCTTTTCTCAAAGGGCTGCGCAACCAGAAAGTGGCATACGAGGTTATGAACCGTGACCCTGTATCGCTGGATGAGGCACAACGGCTAGTATCATCTTATGAACACAATTTCAAAGCCACACTCGGACGAGACTTTGATCTGAAGGGGAGGACACGTCGAGTATCCTGGGCTGATCAAGACATGGACTCTGATGAGGAGGCACCTGCCTTACAGTCACGTAGAGTGCAGTCACAGCCTGGTTATGTTACACAGCACCAGTTACAAACACTCATTGATAAAGTTGATAAGCTGCAATTAGCCATAGCCCGCCTGCCTCCTTCCTCTTCTGTTGTTCTTCCTTCTACCGTAAGACCCACTCAACAAATAAATTCCAGTAAGGCAGTTCAGTCAGAAAGAGGACGTGCAGCTCAGACCCCTTTCAAGTCAAGCAGATACAGACATCAAAATACCAGCCCCACCAGAACTTCTAGCGGGCCATGCTTTCAGTGTGGGGAGGAGGGACATTTCAAACGAAACTGCTCACGGTCCCCCAGTCCATCTGCAAGTCCCCCTACAAATAATGTTGCCAAAATGGAGCCCTCAAATCAAAGTCACTCTGAACATGCAGAGCAGAGTCCGTCTATTGTACATGTGAGCAGAGCTGAGAGTCGAGGGCCCAGTTTAATGATTTCACTGACTGTCGATGGCATACCAGTTAATGCTGTTATAGACACGGGTGCTGAGGCTACGATAATGTCTGAAGAGACGTACAGCAAATTACCTGCCAAATCGCCTTCAGGACTGAAAAATGTGTGTCTCCGAAATGCAGAAACTGGAAGGGAGATGTCAGCAACAGGTGGAGTGGCAGTGGAATTCAGAATTGGCTCAAAGGTGTTGGAGTGGACAGTTTGCATTGCACCAATTCGCGATGCCTTGCTCTTGGGTTTAGATTTCTTAAAAGCTGCTGATTTCACCATACATGCCTCTGGTAAAGTTTTTATGGGCTCTGAACTCATGCCAGCCTATATATCCGAAGGCAAGGGCCCAGACTATGCCATTTCGAGAGTGATGTTGGAGAGAGATGTCACTGTGCCGCCAGAGTGTGAATGTTTAGTGTGGGGTGTGGTAGACGACCCAAACCCAGAACTCCCGGCTGTTCTAGAGCCCGTTACCCTGGCTGATGGAGTGTCGTCAGGCAGCATCATGATTAACATGGAACGGAGGATCCCAGTCAGGCTATGCAATGTCACAGCTTCCAGTAGGCCCTTATTACGGGGAGTCTGTTTGGGTGTGCTTATCGAAGCATATCCAGACGCTCAGGAGGAGGGAGAGATAGCGCACATGGTTCCAGGTGATGCTACATTGTATGCAAAAGACAGGAACTCAACGACACAATATCCTGCCAATGAGCCTCCTGGTGAGCATCACATAAGAAGGGTGTCTTCACCAAACGCTCTAGACCTTCCTGAGCACCTCAGACAGTTGTTCACTGGCGCGAGTGAAACCCTTACTGAGCAGCAACAAGTGATGTTAGTAGCTCTGCTGAGTGAATATCAAACAGTCTTTGCGGCAACTGATGATGACCTTGGGAAGTTCTCTGCTTTGCAGCACAGCATAGACACAGGAGTGTCTAAGCCTGTTCGACAACCAGTACGACGTACCCCTTTAGGGTTTTGGAATGAGGAGGAAACACATCTCAAGAAAATGCTGGATTCAGGTATCGTTGTCCCCTCAAGCTCAGAATGGGCTTCCCCTATTGTCCTTGTAAGAAAAAAGGATGGGGGGGTCCGCTGGTGCGTAGATTATCGCCAGCTTAATGATCTTACCATAAAGGACGCATATCCCCTACCAAAAATAGAGGAATGCCTGGATGTGCTGGGTGGTGCAAAGACATTCTCAACACTTGACCTTCAGTCAGGATATTGGCAGATTGAAATGAATAGAAAAGACAGATCCAAGACTGCTTTTGTGACGAGGTATGGGCTATATGAGTACACCAGAATGCCATTTGGGTTGTGTAACGCACCCAGCACATTCCAGAGGGCCATGGAGTTGGTTCTACGAGGGTTGCAGTGGGACACCTTACTGATCTACCTTGATGACATAATCATTTTCGGTGAAGATGTGGAACAGTGTATGGAGCGGCTTGCAGAGGTTTTTCAGAGGTTGCAGGAATATGGACTAAAGCTGAAACCCTCGAAATGCCACCTGCTAAGAGATGAGGTCCTTTTTCTTGGTCACGTTGTGAGTGGCGAAGGAATTAAGACCAATCCAGCCCTCATTGATGACGTTAGGAACTGGAAGACCCCAACCAGTGTCCAGGAACTCCAGTCTTTCCTCGGTTTGTGCAACTATTACAGGAGGTTTGTTGCCAAGTTTGCTGAAATCACCACACCCTTGACGATGCTGCTCAAGAAAGGGAGTTCCTTCTTCTGGGAAGAGGAGCAGAAAAAGGCCTTTGAACATCTTAAAAGGAGCCTCACAACTGCACCCATTTTGGTGTTCCCAATTACATCTGGACAGTTTGTCCTGGACACTGATGCGTCCAACCAGAGCATTGGAGCAGTTCTCTCACAGTTGCAGTGGGGGGAAGAGAAAGTTATCTCATTTGCCAGCTGTCTCCTCACACCAGCTCACCAGAGGTACTGTGTCACACGTAAGGAACTTCTAGCAGTTGTCAGGTTCACAAGACAGTTCCGCCATTATTTGCTGGGGTCTAACTTCTTACTCAGGACGGATCACAGCAGTCTAACGTGGCTATACAGGTTTAAGAGACCAGAGGGCCAACTGGCTAGGTGGCTTGAAGAACTCAGTCAGTACAATTTCATCATCGAGCATAGGCCAGGTACATATCATTCCAACGCTGATGCTCTGTCTCGAATGACTCTGAATGAAGAACCTTGTGACTGTTATCAAGCAGGAAGAGAGCTAGATAGCTTGCCATGCAAGGGCTGTCGCTTCTGCCGGAAGCTCCACCATCAATGGGCCAGATTCGAGGAAGATGTCGATGATGTCATTCCCTTGGCGGTGAGACGCATACACTCCCTTGACCGTCAGAATGAGGATAGTTGCGCTAACACTCCCAGTGATGTAGATGAAGTAGGTGATGACAACCCAGGTCCTTCCTCAAACTGGCTGCAACCGATGAGTTCGCAAAGTCTCAGGGAAGAACAGTTAGCTGACCCAGACCTTTCAGTTCTCCATAAATGGATGTCTGATGGCTATTTGCCTGCTAAGGAAGAGGTCATGATGCATAGCCCAGCAGTTCGCAAATACTGGCTGTGTTGGTCTCAAGTAGAGATGCGAGATGGGGTCCTCTATTACCGGTGGGATGATTTAAATGGAGGTATGTCATCTCTGCGCTTACTTGTTCCTGTTTCCCTGAAAAATGAGGTTCTCCAATCCTGTCACAATCCAGCTCAAGCAGGTCATTCAGGGGAGATAAAGACGCTTATGCGGCTCCGCAGGTGTTACCAATGGTACAATATGGGGAACGATGTACGCCTTTTCGTGAAGAAGTGCCTACAGTGTAGTTCCTGTAAGACAACAAGTCCCATGGGGAGGGCCAAGCTCCAGAGCTACCAGGCTGGAGCACCTATGGACCGACTCCACCTTGATATCCTAGGACCATTTCCAGAATCCAAGTCAGGCAACAGGTACATCCTCGTTATAATTGATCAGTTTACTCGCTGGGTAGAGGCATTTCCTGTCCCCGAACAAGGAGCTGAGACAACAGCAAAGAGATTGGTGTTTGATTTCATCTCACGTTTTGGGGCTCCCCTTGAGATTCACACTGACCAAGGACGGAACTTTGAGAGTTCGCTGTTCATGGAGGTTTGTCGCCTGTTACAAGTAACCAAGACCCGGACCACACCATATCATCCGGCCTCGAACGGGCAAGTGGAAAGATTCAATAGAACGCTCTTGCAGATGATACGGTGTTATGTGGACCAAAGTCAACGGAATTGGGATGAACATCTTCCCTTACTCACTGCAGCATACAGGAGCACTGTACATTCAGCAACGGGTTTCACACCAAATCAGCTGATGCTGGGGCGAGATGTTTTCCAGCCACATGACATCTGGCTAAGGACGGCTGAGGTTACCAGGGAAGCTAAAAGTACACCTGAGTTTGTCCAAGAACTGCAAGCTAATCTGCAGCAGGCTCATCAAGTAGCGCGTCAGAACTTGCGCACCGCTCAGACTCGCCAGAAAAAGGTCTATGACTTACGAGCCAGAGAGAAGTCCTATCAAGTAGGTGATCTTGTGTCAGTGAGGGTCAGTAGCAGGAGAAAGGGCTACAGTCCAAAACTCCAACCCCCATGGCAAGGGCCTTTGGTCGTCACAGCACGCCTTGGACCAGTGCTCTACCGAGTCAGGGACAGACGAAGTGAGAAAGTACTGCATCATGATCGCTTACAACCCTATCTAAGTGACCACATACCTGCCTGGATGCAGCGTCTGCGACACAAATACACCTGCATCGAGGAAGGCTCACTGATTCCAATAAGTGCTCAGGTACCTGTTGCCACAGGGGCAGAAGCACCAAACCCTTCATCCTCTGCCAGCACTGTGCCGGAAGAGCCTCGGACCCTTCTTGTAACGGATTCTAACTGTGACCCTAATCCCTGTGGAAAAGAGGGGATGAAGACAAAACGGGGGCGACTTGTTCGAGCCCCAAGTCGTTATATGGACTAACAAAGGAAATAGAAGACAACAAAAAGTTAATTGTTCCCCTCAAGAGATGCAGAAGGGACTCTGCAGAGCTAAAAAAAAAAGGGGGGTGGTGTTATAGTGTTAGTTAAATAAATACATAGTTTGTTACAGTTATTTTACATGTATACGTAATGTGTTCTTATTAGCCAATCAGATGTTGTTGCGTCATTACGTAGGGATTAATTCACTGCTTGTTTACGTTTAGCGTCAGTATGCTCGCAGGCTCCGGTGCAGATGGTCGAATATAACCCATCGGCGCTGGGCAAGAGCATACAAACACAGTTGATGTAAAGTTGTGTCTGAATAAGTTCAGTAAAGTTCCTGAACGGACTCTCTTTGTTGTGTGCTTCTCTTCACGCCTCCACGGACACTGTATCCAGCTTAACACGAGAAAGCACAACAGTATGTGTATAGTTTTATCTTACTTTGAAATTGCCATTTACTTCTACATGGGATGTTCCAGAAGTGGGAGGAGCCTAACTATATAAAAGGGCTTCTGGTAGCCATTTTGTGGAGTATTTTTGGAGTGTGGCATTGCTCCTTGTATTTTGGGCCTTGATATTGGCATAGCCGGAATACAGACTGCTAGATTTGTATATTTATTTATATATATATATATATATATATTTATTTTTGCCTTAGTTTGTTTTGTTTTGTTTTTCATTGTATATATTTTTGCTGGGAATCACGATTTTTGCACCAAAATAAACACCCTGGACTGAATTATTCTACATCGTCATTGATTTTACACCTTCACCGCCGGTACACTACAAACTTAACACTACAATTCTAAAAAAATCATACAAACACTTCTAACAGCTCAAAGTGTTTAATGAGAATACAAGCACTGCAATAGTGACTGGCAACAGTATTGAGGTCTAAATCTCCAGAACGTTCTAACTCATTAGAACTTAATTTGAAGAATAATAAGCATAGTAAGTGTTGTTTAAGTCCAGACAGTAAAGCAAACACTTCTATGGAGCTGGGATGAATCGCAATAGGGAGGCAAACCTGAGAACAACTCTCACTCACAAACAGCAGCCAACAAAAGCCAAGCGCAGGCCTCTCAAGTATCTCACAGTCTGCGAAGGGCACATCAGTCTCAGCACGGCAGAAAGGCAAATACAGTCTCTAACACAGAGTGCATTAGGATTGTTTAATCAGCGAGTTTACAGGGAGTGTCCTTTTATGCTCCGGCAGTGACGAGAGGCCACTGCTAATTGTCCGCCCATTGTCTCTCACTGCGCCGAACAAGGGAAGCACTGTGAGCTAGAGAGGAGCGGAGAGAAGAGCGAGAGAGAAGCTGTGTTTATCTTGCAGGCGTTTCTCTCATTTCCCGTACGTCTGTGCTGTCTTTGTGTGTGTGAACCAGCACTATTATCTGTTGGCACGATAAGTCTCCGAGCCTGGAGGGTTACAGATGTGGCGGGGCTGTATTGTTGTTTTCCACCTGCTCCGACCGTCCCTCCCCTCATTCACAGAGAGAGTAATCCCATCATATGACAAGACACACAAAAACATACAACTTTGCCTCTATTCAAGGGCAAAGTAGCTTTTATCCACCCTCCTGCTAATTGAAGTGGTATGTGTCTGTTTAAAGGCACTGTTGGGTTGTTCAAGGCGGTGGCTTTGTACCTGGGATAGTGAAGGTTAGGCATCCGTTTTCCCACATTGCTGTGATTGCTTGTCAGCTGGATCATTGCTACACAATCTGGTCAGTTGTTAGCAAAAGGCTCGTCATATTTTTGGGTTTCTTTTGTTATGTGAACCGTGCAACACTTTTAGTGAGCATGGGAAAATGATAAGCCACATGAATGTGATGCTAAACGCAGTTTAGTTGTGATATGGGTAACACTTTATTTCGATAGTCCACTTTAGACATTCTACTAACTGCTTTGCAACATGTCATTAAAGTATTAGTAGAATATATGCTTAATATCTGCTAAGACTTTATTTTGATGATCCCTCAACAGATATTCTTATAAGCAACTTGTCAATTATAAATCAACTTATTCTACTAAACCGAAACCTAACACCTATAACCGACCTGTCTACTGACAGTCTACTACAGCCTTCTAATACTCTAATGAGAGTTAGTTGACATGTACATGCAAAGTTATTTATAGTTAGTAGAATGTCTAAAGTGGACTATAAAAATAAAGTGGAACCATGATATGTACTGCATTTGCTCAAAGTCCAAATTTTAATACCGATATTACGCATGCACAAAGAGATTCTTATTTAGTGCATTTGGACACAATTAAGTGCTATTACTTCTGAGATAAATGTAGGACATTTATGGTGACATTGCCAATGTCCTGGTAGGGTTGTGCACCATTCAGAATTGAAATGAGAATGAAGACTCCTTGGTAAACAAGTACACAATATTTTTGAAAAAAAAAAAAAAAATTATTAGGGGATAGTGATGGAGACCGCCTATGCCGAGTCCGAGTCAAGACCAAGTCTTTGAAGGGTCGAGTCCGAGCCGAGACCGAGTCCGTTGGTTTTCAAATACAGTCGAGTCCGAATCAAGACCGAGTCTTTGAAGGGTCAGGTCCGAGTCGAGACCGAGTCCGTTGGTTTTCAAATACAGTCGAGTCCGAGTCAAGACCGAGTCTTTGAAGGATCGAGTCAGAGTCGAGACCGAGTCCGTTGGTTTTCAAATACAGTCGAGTCCGAGTCAAGACCGAGTCTTTGAAGGGTCAGGTCCGAGTCGAGACCGAGTCCGTTGGTTTTCAAATACAGTCGAGTCCGAGTCAAGACCGAGTCTTTGAAGGGTCGAGTCAGAGTCGAGACCGAGTCCGTTGGTTTTCAAATACAGTCGAGTCCGAGTCAAGACCGAGTCTTTGAAGGGTCGAGTCCGAGTCCGTTGGTTTTCAAATACAGTCGAGTCCGAATCAAGACCGAGTCTTTGAAGGGTCAGGTCCGAGTCGAGACCGAGTCCGTTGGTTTTCAAATACAGTCGAGTCCGAATCAAGACCGAGTCTTTGAAGGGTCTAACACAGTCTCATCCCAAAAAGTCATATAACTGACGTCTTGGGACGTTTTTTGACCATACGTCAATATCCGCCTTTTTAGGGCCCCCTTAAACGTCGGTAGATGGCGATCCCGGGCCGTCATACAACTGACGCTTTACCTTTAACGTCAGTTAGGTGACGGGTTAGGTTTAGGGTTAAGTTTAGGTCTGGGGTAGAGTTAGGATCCCATAACCTCATCTTCCGACGTTTAAGGGGGCCCTAAAAAGGCGAATATTGACGTATGGTCAAAAGACGTCCCAAAACGTCAGTTATATGACGTCTTGGGATGAGACCGGGTTGAAGGGTCAGGTCCGAGTCGAGACCGAGTCCGTTGGTTTTCAAATACAGTCGATAAATGTAGGACATTTATGGTGACATTATCAATGTCCTGGTAGGGTTGTGGACCATTCAGAATTGAAATGAGAATGAAGACTCCTTGGTAAACAAGTACACAACATTTAAAAAAAAAAAAAAACTTTATTAGGGGATAGTGATGGAGACCGCCTATGCCGAGTCCGAGTCAAGACCAAGTCTTTGAAGGGTCGAGTCCGAGCCGAGACCGAGTCCGTTGGTTTTCAAATACAGTCGAGTCCGAGTCAAGACCGTGTCTTTGAAGGGTCGAGTCCGAGTCCGTTGGTTTTCAAATACAGTCGAGTCCGAATCGAGACCGAGTCTTTGAAGGGTCAGGTCCGAGTCGAGGCCGAGTCCGTTGGTTTTCAAATACAGTCGAGTCCGAATCAAGACCGAGTCTTTGAAGGGTCAGGTCTGAGTCAAGCCCGAGCCCGTTGGTTTTCAAATACAGTCGAGTCCGGGTCAAGGCCGAGTCTTTGAAGGGTCGAGTCCGAGTCGATACCAAGTCTGTTTGTTTCCGAATACAGTCGAGTCTGAGTAAAGAGTTTGTGGTTCTGAAAGATGAATTTGATGATGGCAGACTCGTTGCTCATCTTGCCGCCACTCACACCAGGCAGCAACTGAAGACATAGATGGCTCTGACGGCAGTATCTTTGCATTGCACCATGGGATGTCATTTTCAAATAATGCCCACCAACATTGCATTTTATTATTATTGTTGTTATGTGTTGTGTTTTTTTTTATATGAACATAAAAAATGCGTTGGAAAAAAAAATCTCGAGGACTTCTGAAAATTCCGAGACCAAGTCAAGACCAAGTCTTTGAAGGGTCAAAACCGAGTCAAGACAGAGTCTTTGAAGGAACAAGTCCGAGACGAGTCCGAGTAAGTCTCGAGGCCGGTCTCGAGTCCGGTCTCGTGTCTGAGACCAGACTCAAGTACTACATTACTATTAGGGAATGGACTGAGTTCTCAGAGGTGAACCTTGTCATAGTTGGGTAAAGTTGGATAGGCGGAACGTGTGTAAGACCAGCCCGTTCTCATCCCAAGACATCATATCACTGACGCTTTTTACCGTACGTCAACATCCAACGTTTTAAGGTACCCTTTAACATCAGTTAGATGATGATCTAATCCTAACCCTACCCCAGACCTAAACCTACCTGTGTCATCTAACTGACGCTAAAGATAAAGTGTCAGTTAGATGACGTCCTAGTGTCATCTAACTGACGTTAAAGGGTACCCTAAAACGTTGGATGTTTACGTATGGTCAAAAGCGTCAGATGACGTCTTGGAATGAGAATGTGTTGACTGGACAAGTCTTAGCCTTCCCCTGGCCACGGTCTTGAGACTAATGTCTAGAATCAGTTTTTCTGCGTAAAAATAGCATTTCGGCTAAACAGATTTGGTGTTTGCGCACTTGAGAGTGTCAAAGGTTTCTATTTACAGCATGTTTTGCAGCATTAAGCAATGTAGCCAATCACAAACATAGTTAATTTTTTTAACACAATGGTCAATCAGATGGATTAAATTAGAATCCACTCACCACTCAAAAAAATGCCAGAGATTTTGTCCAGTGCTGAGTTCTCCGCAATCGCAAGTTAACTTATAACAAACACAGTCAGTTTCATTGTGGAACTTTGTGAGATCACAATGAATTGATGTGACAGTTTTTTAGGCAATATATAATCCATCAGAATCTAAATAAAAATGTTGTTTTGATGCAATATGTAAGTCAATGGTTATTTATTATCCGAATTGGCTGCCATGCCAAATCACACATACAATATGCTTACTTTTCTGTTCAAATTATAGTTTGCGAACGAGTCGCTTTAATAACAAATACTTAACGGAGAAAGTTTATGATGAGGTTGTTGAGAGATGACAACTTAAAAATATTTCATGACATAATTTTTAGTGTTTTTAAGGAGAATGCACATTACCCTGGAATTGGTTCACCTTTTAAAGTGCTATAGTGGTGAATGGAAACTAAATGTAATTTTTGTGTTCCCAATTGCTCCAATAGCAAAATAATAATAATAATAAAAAAAAAATCCACAATAGCATTTTTATGACTTTGAAAAAGAGGAAAAATATTAGAGGAGAGAAAGATATCAAATTTGAGATAAATGTTTTTAGCTGTTGTATTAGAAACACTGCCAAGGCAATATAACACAAAGTGTTATGAATGTACATTATTTTGTTTTAATGAATAAAAAAAAAACGTTAATAAACGTAATA